GTGAATGTGGAATATGTCATATAAATACAAAACATATGTACAATCCCAATGGAGTTCTCACACAAGAGAAACCAAGAATACACAGTGACTACACACAAGGCTATTTAAAGATACATAAATTATTTTCTAGACAATAGGTACTCATCAAGAGGGTAAAATGAATGTGTATTTAAGTATCGTTTTGGTGCTATTTTAAATCATGCCTTTTCATAAGACCTTTGAGATCAGATGGTAGGTTATTAAAAATTCATGATTCCAACAGTTTTCTTTTGCAATGTAAATACCTTTTTACTGTCAGATGAATTACACCAGAAAATTATTCAATACTTCATTAAAGAGTGAAAGTAAGCAAAATATATTGATTTGAGAGTGTCAGTTATATAGATATGCCTGCATAATTTTGCAAGTGAAACATGATCTGTCCTCATTACATCTTATACGTGACATTTTATTGACATTATAAGAGCAAGCTAGTAATAAGTAAATTATTATTTGTCTTGACCCATTTCAGAGATCGGTACATGTGCTGGAGATATAACTGGTTTGCTGTTCTTGTGTAAAAAAATTATGAATTATTTTAATGATTATATTGCATTGTTTTAGAATCATGGACTGAAAAAAATTTGCCTTGTCATTTAGAATTAGTTAAATGATTACAGTGTAACCTTACAAATTTGGAATTTGTGATAATTCTGACAGCAGTTTTTTTTTTTTTGGGCGTTACAACTGTCATGATCCCATTGCCACTACATAAAAAGTTTTTAAGACTGATGTCAAAATTTACATTTCTACACCTTATGGCAAGTAAATTTATTTTATTGTATGCAATCTAAGTCTCAAAATCATGTTATATTGCTTAGAAACGCATTTGAAGTACATTCTCTGAACATATTTTTATAGCACTTCTAAAATTCAGACTTTTGCTAATTTGGACAAGGGTTGGCACCCAATTAATTTGTATTAGGGAGGTCTTAACAAATTTCTGTTATTGTTAAAGGTTAATGAATTCTTCTTGTGATTATATTTTTTAGCATTGTTAAGTGATAATATTTCTCATAAATCATTGTTACTTGATCCGGATATTATATGTTTTCTAACATTTCTGCATTTGTCTTTTGAGATATTTAATGATGTTGTTTACAAAGCAACAAGCTGTGTAGTATGCAAGGAATGATTGCCTTGAAGTGGTTTTTTCTTAAACCTAGAATGGATGGTATTTACTTTTTATAATATAAGCCCATGGTTTTCTCTGTTACTCATTCAGGAAAAATATAGTAAATTCAGCTTTAATCTGCAAAAGATAATAGCACTATACATGTGGATTGCTTTTTCACATACAAGGGGGGGGTCAGTAAATTGGTCACAAATGGATATAAAACATGAAATGTGTTTAGTTTTGAGGTTTTCACGGCAATGTCTATGAAGAAAGTCATCTTCTGGGACCTGGCGCCGTGTATTCTTGGTTTTAACCGACGTTTCGGAGCAACGTATCGCCTCCTTCTTCAGGGCAGGTGAATCGCAATGCGAATACAGAGAGCAGTAGCTGCAGCATAGGAGTCTGTTGAATATTGTCTGAGCCACTTCTGCATCTGTTTGGGCATCATCTGCGACTTTCAAACATCCTTGAGAGAATTTCTCGACCCAGTTGTGAACCACTTTACACAACAGACTTCTCACAATAAGCAGGAAACATTTCTTTATGCATATCCTTTTCATTGAGTCCTTTTGCCCACAAAAATCACACAACAGAATGCTGCTGTATGCTAATACACTTCTGAAGCCTGGTCACCATTTGGACTACTGAAACCCCTGAACATGTGCATGTGCATCTGCTACCTAGACTGCCTTGAAGCTGGACTATGCTGCTACCTAGTGATACACATGGAAAACCTGTTACGACCATTACAGCTGTTTTATTTCCATTTGTGACCAATTTACTGACCGTCCCCCATACACTACCGTTTACTAAAAATTCTGACAATATATAAATATGAAACTTGAGGTTATCACAGCAGGGAATATCAGGATTTTTGTCTTCTCAGATGTAACATCATGTAGTTCAGTAGATTTGTATCTGAAGATAGAGGCAGCAGATTTTCCAGAATGTCACTACCCATGAGCTATATAGCATTGCATCCCAGAAGGCTTCAATCTAAATAAAAATCTTGAGTTGTTAATTTTTAATTTCTTAGATATGTGAATTTTATACATGAGAATTAAACTTGATAGGCTAGAAGAAGCTGAAAAGGATCTGAATCAAGTAATGGGCATGCTGAGGGAGAAGCAACAGCATTTGGCTGAAGTAGAGAAACAGATCGCTCAGTTAGAAGCATCTTATGATGCCAGTCTAGCAGAAAAGACTGAGTTGGAGCGAGTCATAGATCTGACTGCAAACAGACTCACAAGAGCAGGAAGACTGACTTCAGCCCTTGGAGATGAGCAAGTTCTGTGGGAAGAGTCAGTTAAGGTATGAAACAAATGATCATTAATTTAAAATGTCTTAATAAATCATCTTTTGGGAATCTCCTTTTTTAGTGGTAGAGAGAGTTAAATTGCTTTAATTGACAATTGAAAGGAGGCCAAAAGATCACATAACAACTCTTGTACGAGATTCTTGATACTCATTTCAATTTTAAACAGGGTCTCAATGCCAGTTTGGCCACTTTGCTTGGTGATGTGCTGGTAGCAGCAGGTTTTGTTGCATATCTTGGGCCCCTCATAAGCACATACCGTGATGAGTTGATGGGGCTTTGGATTTCTCACTGCAAAGAGCTGTCAGTTCCTGCATCAGAAAATTTCAGGTAGAACAGAAATATACGTCTCTGATACACATACGTACAATAAAATAGGTGAAGCTAATCTCCTTGATGGCGAATTTCGAAGTAGATTGATGTGACTCAGGATAAGGATGTGTGGAAGGCTCTTGTGAACATGATAATGAACCTTTGAATTCCATAAAATGCTGGGAAATTCTTAGGTAGCTGAGTGACCGACAGCTTCCCAAGAAAGAACAAATTGTTCCTTTTTCTTGCACTTATACTTTAACACAACATGTTTTGGCCTTAGATGGCCATCCTCAGGTGTCTTAATATATTTAAACTGCTACACTGCATTAATATGCAGTAAAATCACATGCTGCAGTGCACTGAATAAAACAAATTAAAATAAAATTACAAAGAAATTAAGTAATGTTAGGTAAGATTATCAAACAGGTAACAGAATTGAAATATTTAAGATAATTTAGTTCAGGTCTAAAAAATAATATAAAAATGGAATTACAATCTTACATCAAAATAAATGACAATACTAAAAGAAGTTCTGGCAAATTCTAAACACCTGAAGAATAGGTGAAGAGAACTGCACTGAATGGGATTAGAAGCAGGAAATTAAGCTTAATCCTGCACAATTTTTGTGATGAGGATAATAATTTAATTGAACTAAACTCCTCAGATTACCATCTTCTGGCATGTGACACCTTGTAGTCTGATAGGCAGGAACCTGTTGCATCAATCTTCAGGCAAGAAGAAACCTGAAGATGGAGGCAGCAAGTTCCTCCGAAATGTTAGTACCTATCTGCCCAACTGCATGGGGTCACATCACAGAAGACCGCGCTCTCATTACTTGGTGCTGTCAGTATCCTCAGATCTCATCAATTTCTCATGTTTGTGTGTGAAGTCACCCATCATGTCATTGCAAAGACTTTATTAGGATGTAATGCAGGAATTATCCTTGTTCTAATTAGCTTTTATTTCTTGTCTTTTGTAACAGTTTGACTGCTGTTCTGACAGACCCATATGAAATCAGACAGTGGAACACATTTGGTCTACCAAAAGACAAAATATCTATAGAGAATGCTATCCTTGTAACATGGGCTAAAAGGTGGCCCCTTTTGATAGACCCACAAGAGCAGGTAAATCTTGCAGTAACATTTGATATGTTATTTGACACTTAGCCATGCAAGTAATGATATTACTTTGTGTAATGTTATGGAAACCTGTTACTTGAGCTGTTTTTCATTAGTATATTATCGGATTCAGAGAGGTTCTGTAATTAGTGAATAGTTATCATAGAGCTAGCCAAAGCCCAGTATAAGGAGTGTATGTTAAAATCACTATTTAAAGAATCTCTGGATGAATGGCCTTTCTGACACCAAATCAAGGTGTTCACTAAATGGGGGTGATATAAAACTGCATCAAGAAACTCTTCATTTTAATAATATTTAATGCATACAATTATGCTGAGCCAGGATGGCGTAGTTGGTATAGTGACTGGCTGTGGGCTTGATGACTGAGGGGTCAGAGTTTGAGTCCTGGTAGGATCAAGAATTTTCTCATCTCCATGTCATCTAAAAAAGCTCTTGATTCCACCCAACCCCCTGTCCAATGGGTACCAGGGGCTCTTTCTCCTGGGCTAAAGCGGCCGGGGCGTGAAGCTGACCCCTCACCTCCAACTAGTGCCAATGTCAAGAAAATGTGGATCTATACGTCCACTCCCTCATACGTCTTCATGGCATAATGCTTGATTAGTTAAACACAGGGACAACTTTACCTTACCTTTTACATAGAATTATAATGAAATAATTTCTTTATGTAAATACTTAGTAAGAGTGTTTCTGTACCAATAAATATGATTATGTAGTCAATCATATCCAATTAATTTCTGAGATAATTAATGACATATGAAGTAAAAACTAAAAGTCCCTTTGTTAAGAACTAAATTAACTAGAGATTTCACACACCTAAGATTGTGACTGTGCAATAATGGTTTCTGGCAGAGAGAAGAACATATTGCTGTTCTGACCACATCTGCACTAAATTGAGGTATGATTTCTTGAAGTTTTAAAGTGTTTTACATTAATTGTGCAGAGTATTAACTAAATTGAAATATATTGAATGCAGAAAAACAGCATGGTGAAATCTTTGTTTAATGTTGATGCATTTAGTAAATTCCCATATTTATTTATTTTTTTTCTGGTACCAGCTGAAGCTTGATTTAAACAATATATTATTTTCTATATATAGAGAATTTCAGTGTAGTAAATAACCCACATTTCAGGTAAGAAAGTTTTTGGCTTTCTAGATCTTGTACCTAAATTTAGCGTGATTATGGTCAAAACAATTGATATTCATACGTTCTCCTTGCTGGAAATCATTCTCATGCAACCATTGTGTTTATTTCATTTGTCACTAATTACTTTAGAAATTAATTTGGTATTTTTTATTATGTAACCACATTTATTTATGTAAATAAATTATTTTATCGCAGTTGTATGCAGTAATTCTCATAAGAAAGTGACCAGGTTTTTATGTAATTTTTCGTAACCCCCATTTAGTGAATACTTATTCTAGTGTAAGACATGCTATCCCCGTAGGGATTCATTCTTTGATTTCTTAGATTAAACGCAAATGAAATGCAGCTTTTTCTTCAAACACAGGCCAATCGATGGATTCGTCAGATGGAAGATGCTAATGGTTTGAAAATAGTCAAACTGACAGATTCCAATCTCATGCATGTTCTTGAGAGTGGGATTAGAATTGGTAATTCAGTCTTGCTTGAGGAGATAGGAGAAACACTGGATCCGATATTAAGCTCTGTGCTTCTCAAACAGACGTTTGTTCAGGTATGTTATAAATTTAGATTGAGTACTGACATGGGGGGGGGACTGATTCCAGTTACCCCAGACCTCTACTTCATTCACAGTGTGTCCCCAGTGGTCAGCCTTAGCATGTCGCTTAAACCCTTAGTGATGGAGAACGTCCATAGTAAATTTGTTTGTAGTGTCTAAGGACATTTAAACGTTAAATACTAAGTTTTCATTTCACTATAAGAAAATATTTTTTTGTTTAAAACTAGTGTTTTGGACTTGTCTGTCATCTGAGTTTATTAAAACTGCTGTATTTATAAAGCTGTCTCTCTTTCTATCTCCAGGATACAAAAGAAAATATATTCTGTTGGACTTTTACTGAGTGCCTTGTAATGTTAGAGTATGTAGTCACAACAGTGGACATGAATGGGTTAAAAATGTCAATCAGTGTAGTTGCAAGAAATTTTAGAAGGCTGTGAGAAGATTGATAAGATAATGAAAATATTTTGCAAATGCAGTGAATATTATGTTGCTATTATATTCCTTTGTACATTGAAATGCTGTTTTAGGCTGGGAGAACTCTGATAAGACTTGGTGATGCTGATGTTGAATACAATGATAGTTTTCGTTTGTATATGACAACTAAACTTCCTAATCCGCATTATTTGCCAGAGATCTGCATTCAGGTGACAATGATAAACTTTACAATAACAACATCGGGCTTAGAGGAACAGCTGCTGAGGTAAGCATGTGTATCAAGAAACCATTTAAATATATCACTGCTGTGGACAAAGTCACTAACTGATTACTCATTATATTAGCCTTATGAATAATAACCTTTAAGAGCCTAGTGACACCGTATGGAGACCTTTGAAGTGTAGCCGAGTGGCCATACGTCACTGTATGGGTACGCGCATTCCACGCACACACACAGTGTTTTAAAATCTAATTTTAAGATAGAAATTCTTGTTCTACTTACATTATTTTTGAGCACCCGCTTTATAAGTAGACTGTCTTCCCTCCTGCGTCATCTAACTGAATGCAGAGTCCGACGTCGCAACTCATGCACTTTGTCCGTATGTAACTCGGTTTTCCACGCGAAGAGCACATACGACACCTCAGTCTCGTATTAGAGGAAGTCGGCCAGTGATGTCGAGTGGCCTCCTCTAATCGTAACGCTTATAAAACATCACAATTTTAACTATCCACCATGGCCTCATTTTGCATGGAAGAAGCCGAAATTGAAAGGCCGCTGATAAATGACGCCGATTCAGAATGTGGTACAGACGACTCTCAAACTGGCGAGGAAGCAAGGGGGAAATGCGGGGCTATTCCATGAACATTACCTCTGTGTGGCTAGTCCGAGATATACACAGTCAGAGTTACTGAAGGACAACGTACGATAAGACTTCGCCCACGCTCGTGCATACAGAAAGGTTCCAACATGACTGGAGAATGTGCAATTTCAAACATAAACTTCCTCCCCTTTTGCCAGATAAGACATAGTAAGACAGGATGTCAGCAGCATGCATTTATACTGCAGAAACTGAATGCATATTTGTGGACAGACGCTCAAAATTGGGGAATTTTTTTTTTTAATCAGTGTAACAATATTTACAGATTTTAAAATCTGTAAATTACAATATCTGATTCTATATTCTTTCTAGATAAAAGCAGCGTTTATTTCGTTCGTTTATCACAAAAATTGTTGAAATCACAGCATTTTAGTAACATGCTTACAATTTTTAATACTCTACAATGGCAGACATTTAAATTAACTGCACCCTGCTGCCATTACGGGAATTTAAATGACCTGTCTCTTAAAGAATAATCTAGAAGAGTTCTAGGAATGGGAATGGAAAACGAGAAATAAAGAATGAATATCAAAACCCCCCAATAAAAAGGTAAGGTAAATTTGTGCCTGTGCTCAACTAATTAAGCACTATACCATGAAGGCATATGAGGGAGTGCATGTATAGATCCACACATTTTCTTGACCTCAACACTAATTGGAGGTGAGTGGTGAGCTTCACATCACGGCTGCTTTACCCCCCACCCCAGGGAAAGAGAGCCGGTGTGGACGACGTGGAGAAGAGAAAATTTTCTACCCTACCGGGACTCAAACTACAACCCCTCAGTCGTCCAGCCTGTAGCCAGTTGCTATACTGACTGCTACCCTGGCTCCTAAACCCAAAATAAAGCAAACAAAAGATTAAAGCATTTATTTTCTTGTCTCCTGGGTTATCACCAATATTTGAGTTTACTATGGAGTACTTTCATAGGTTTAGAATCAATACACTGTTCTAAATATTTCCCACCTTTAAATTATTAAAACAATGGTGTACATTGAATTGAACATTGTTAATTAATTTAAAGAGCATAACATATGAATTCATTGAACTGAGTTTAAATTTTAACTTTATAGTGATGTTATATGCTTGGAGCAACCAGAGTTAGAACAGCAACGAAATGAATTGATAACCAGAATTAATAATGACAAAAATCAACTTCAAAGTATAGAGGATAAAGTACTGAGAATACTGTATGCATCAGAAGGGAATATATTGGATGACGAAGCCCTAATAGACACACTAAATGAAAGCAAGGTAAAACAAAAATAATTTACTTTATATTTGAATTGTAACTATAATGCAGAATTTTAATGAGTTTGTGAACTATGTGTAGTGGGACAAGAAGAATATTTTAAGACTAAGAGAGAGGAAGACAGTTTCATAATAAGAAACTTCAGAGTTTGTACTCTTCACCTAGGGTGACTGATCCTGTAAAATTGCGTGAGATCAATACAAAATATAGTGCACATGGTGGGAAACAGAATGCATACAGAATTTTGGTTGGAAAGTCTCCACAGATGCGATTTGAGGCCTAGGCACAGATGAAACAGTAATATTAAACAGATTTTTAAGAACTTGGTTTTGAAGACATAAAGTCAACTAAATGAAATTGTTAAGGATATGCCTGTATTATCACTGAATTTGACCTTCTGAGTCTATAACAAAATTTTCTTGGCCACTGTCAGCTGTGAAGACTACTGTTTTCTGGGATATGATACCATGCAGCCTAGTAGAAATTTACTGACATTTTGGATGGACATATGACCTCCATCTTCAAGGTTGAAGGGTAAGCTAAGCAGCATTCTGCAGCAGTCCATTCATCTGAAACTTAAACTTCTACCAGACTACACAGTATCACATCTACATAGTCACTCCTGTTAGGACCTCAGATATGTATGTCATCTGCTTTGTACATTGCATACATAGTTGTATTTAATTTGTAAGACATATTTTTTTTTCTGTTTTACTTAAGGAAACAGCAGGTGTTATAGCATCAAGATTATTGGAAACAGAGGCTGCAGAAGCGAACATATCTGTAGCAAGGGAGAAATATCATTTAGTGGCAACTCGTGGATCCGTTCTGTACTTTGTAGTAGCTCAGTTAGCTGATATTGATCCTATGTATCAGTTTTCCTTGAAATATTTCAACCAGGTCTGTAAATACTGTTCGTCAGAATATTTTCATTTGTTAACTTAAATAATAAATGCATTCCACAGTGTCTGGAACCTAGTCTCGGTAAGTGCAATATAAATAATTTATCTTCATGTTTTCATATAGTGTGTATCATATAGTACAGTTTGACCAGGAATGGAAATGGTTTTTTTTTACTAGGTAGACACTTCAGTTGAGAACAAGGGAGTAACTCAAGAGCAGTAGAAAAGTACTGGGGAATGTCGGACATATATTTTGAAGAAATTATTACAGTGTAGTCTTGTGAATTTGTTCCAATTTGTTGGGAACAGTAATTATGACATCTTAGGCACTGGAAATAACTTCTTCAAAATGAAGCCTCTGAAACTAAGTAGGGGACATCTGTCCGCATCTACCTGCATTTCCAGCCATAATGTAGGGCCAGCTGAAACCTGTTATGCTATCCACGCAGTTGAGCTATTTTACCACAGAGGAACTTTATGTGAGATTGATGTTTTCTGGGCTGTGACATCATACAATCATGCAGATGTACTCTAACATTTTAGGAAAATGCTGTCTCCTTGTTCATGGTCAAAGTGTATAGAGTGAGAAGTTTATTTGCTTATATAGGCATGTTGCAAGCTAGATGGTTTCTCAGTCATGGGGATTGGAGAGCAGATAGAAACCAGTCTAGACCAATAGCAGTGGTGAACAGGAAAAGTCCTCTTTAATGACCGCAATATTACATGGTGTCATAACCCATATGGCCACATTACGTAGTGTTACAGTACAGCAGACCACAGTCTGAACAATTACCCATAAGAATTTTACATGTAATTGATACCAAATTATGAAAGCCTTAAGCTCTTTGGTATAAGCTGTAAAAACAATGAAATATTGCATCAGAAATCTCTGTATGTGGTTACAATTACAGACTTTACACATTTTGTTTTGTGATGGTTATTCATTTGCCCTACTTAAATGTCTGTCTGCTGGGCATGGTCAGACTGTTCAAGACCTATGTAGGCAAATTGTATTGTGTCCTGTATTTCACTTGAAGATACACAGAAACTGATAACAAAGCATGCTTGAAAGTGTCAGTGATGTGACACTATGTAGTTCAGTAGAAGTTAAAAAATAATTTTGAGGGACATACTACCTCCTTCTTGAGGGCTGAAGAGTGAAAAGAAGAGGCTAGCAAGAAGCAGGCACCAATACTGTATAGCCTTGATGCTGAACATGTCGTTAAATGACCTACAGAAGAAAAAAAAGAAAAAAATTGAAACCCAAGCAGAGTGAACTTATGCAAGACTACACAGTATCACATTCCACATACTCGTAATGCTCAACTGCCATTAGAACCTCAAATCCAAGAGAACATAGTTCTTAATGAGATTTGGGGTTATTGTAGGGTTGAAAATTAGGACTGTATTATTTTTTATAATGACATTGTATAGGTTTGTAGGTGGTTACCAACATTTCAGAGGAACCTGCTGCCTCTATATACCCTGAAGATAATATATCTTTTATATATCTTATTTAGTAAATTCTATTCTATACTGCTGGATCTTGTGTTTAGGTGTTCAATAAAGTGATCAGTACTACTGAGAAAGCTGAAGATTTAGCAGTTCGTCTGCAAATTCTGTTAAATGAAATAACACTTGCAGTTTATACGAATGTGTCAAGGGGTTTGTTTGAAAGGCACAAGCTTATATTTAGCTTCATGCTATGTGCAAGAATATACAAAGAAGCTGGAATCATTAATGAACTGCAATGGAATTTTCTACTTCGTGGGCCGGTATCTGTTGGAATGGTAAGTCACCCTGAAGCATATCATCTGTTACTTTCTCAGCTGTCCTGTTCCATGTTTCTGTTTCAAAGATTTTGCTGTCATGACAGTGTGATTAATAATAAAAGCTTATTTTTCAGGCAGAATGTACTGCTACCATATGCTCTGATTGGATTAAAAAAAATAGAATTTAAAATATAAATCAAAGAGAGCCATAAGAGAAGTCATAGGCCTAATGCTGGAAGGACGCCGATGGTCATAACCCTTGTTCAGTCTCTCATTTCTTGCACAGATATTTCATTTATATAACATATTACTTCGAATATAAAATGCACATTTTACACATTTTTTCCCCATTGAAAAATTGATGTGCATCTTAAATTCAGGGATTAGGCACCTTTCTAAATTTTTTCCTAAAACCCACATTAAGAAACTGGATGTGTCTTAAATTTGAAGGCTTCTTATATTTGAAGTAATACACTATGTTAACCAACATTTGATTCAGTGGTGTACATATGTGTTTTCTTTAACAATGCAAGCCTTCTTATCTGTTACTGTTTCTTCTCTCTGTTTTTAGACTGTTCCCAAGAAACCAGATATTGCAACCCTATCAGATGCCATGTGGCTGTCAGTTAATTTCCTTGCTGCCAAGTTTGACTCTTTTGAGGGTATAGTTTTGGATTCAGTTCTAAAAATATGTATAAGAATCGAAGATTTTGATCAGGTAATGAAACTTTTGAGAGTCAGATGAACAGACAAGAAATTATATGTACTGTTATGCTAAATATAATTTTTTTTATTGCTAGTGGGATGGGACTAAGTCCCTTGTACTGCGGCCACTTCTGGCCTATTGTACCAGCCTCAGATGATAGGTGAGGGTAATTATGGAGCAATTGGTGGAATGGAGATTGGCAGGGAAAACCGAAGTACTAGGAGAAAACCTGCCCCAGCGCCACTTTGTCCACCACAAATCCCACTTGACCAAAACCCGGGATCGAACCAGGGCCAGTGCGGTGGGAAGTCAGCGACTAACCACTTGAGTTATGGCGCGGCCTTATGCTAGATACATTCAAACACTCACCACTAGCTATGTAAAATGTGAGAGGTACTTGATATGGACAGTTATACACCTTTTTCCTGTATTGTTATATATTTTCCAACCATATATTGTGTCTGTCTGGGCTTAAATTTATGAGAACTGAAGAAAATTTCAATTATATTTGTGGTCGGTTGTTACCACTATTTCAGTGGGAAATGCTGCCTCTGTCTTCACTCTGAAGTTTGAAGCAGTAGCTTCCTCTGAAACATTAGTAAACAATATACAGGACTGTCCCAGCAGACAGTAATCTTTATAGTGAATTAAGGTCTCCTATGGCATGTAGTAATAATTTTAGTTGAATGCTGGAAAAAACTATTTTCTTGCATTGTTAACTAGGTTCAGTGTTAACATGCTTGTATTTATAACCTCATTATTAAAAATGAATTTTGCAGTGCCATGAATCCTAATCTAAATGAATGCATGAAAGTAAAAGGACTGGAAAAATTAAAACACTTTATATGTCAATACAATAAACCCTTGCTAATCCAGTTGTAGTAAACCCAGATGTCAGAAACTCTGGATTGAAGTATGAAAAATGAAAAATGCTAATCACAGTTAAGGAGTATTATGAACACCTAAGAAATGTGAGGGAGATCCTATTTAATGAACAGCAGTAGAGGTCTGTTCAGACAAAACTAGGCAGTTTTTTCAAACCTTCATTATTATGTCTAAAAACATGAGTCTTCTATCGATGAATAAATGTATTATCTTTTTATAGCTTTTAAACGAAGGCTCTACAATTATATTTTTTTTATGTTTATTTTCTTCAGCACTATTTATGTCATTAAATTTTTGCATTTATTTTTGTTCTAAGTTTTGTCCTTTAGACTCCCATTTGCTTCAGTAATCCAGATGACCTCTTCCTCCAAAATTTATCCAGATGAGTGAGGGTTTACTGTATATGTAATTCATTATTATTCACAGACTGGAAAAATATTGTTGATTGATAGATCTTTATTTTTATTGGCAGATTAAAATTAGTTCAGTTAATTATTGTAACTATGTTATTTTCATTATTATGGTGTTTTCAGGTAATCAATATTCATGTAACAAACCACAAGTCGTCACAAATAGATTGGAATGTACAGTTGGATGATTTTGAGAAACTGATGTTATTAAAAGCCTTGAAGGAAGAAAAGGTAAATTTATCATTCAGAGAAACCCACATTAGTGAAGTAACTATGTATATTGAGTTTGGTTTTGAGGTTCTCAAAGAGTGATTATGAAGAGTATGATCTTCTGGGTAGGAAAACCAGCAGAAGCAAGCAGCAAACTAAGCTGGACATGTTGATATCTTGCTTGGCATACTCTTTGACCCTGAAAATGAAGGAAGTATGCTGCTCTGAAAAGTTGGACTGTCTGAATTATGTAGTGTTACAACCCAGCAAACCTCACTCTTCATGTATATTAATGGTTGTGAGAGAGCTGGAAGAGAGATTAGTAAGTACCCTCATAAGTGGAATGCCATTTCATATGTTTCGTTCATACTTTCCAGTAATTAAATGACTGAGAAAAACAGTAAGATCTTATTTTAATCTGGAATCTCCTCTCCATTAAAAATATTTGTAGTGAGTTGTAGTTCTCTAGTGTTATTCTACAGTTCGTGTTTCTGTGCCCTCTTGTATGGGGAATTCTGTTCTTATCCTGTTTTTGCTTACCTGAGGTGCAGAAATTCCATGGAGCAGGGCATTTATTGAGAAAATCGTAGTTGCTCAGCTATTTAACAAATTTGCTTCCTTTAATGGAACCCAAAGGTTCATTACTGCATTCACAACAACCCACCACTGGATTTTTTCCTGAGCCAGATGAGTCCAGTCCACACCCTTCCAGCATATTTATTTATGATTCTTTATGCTGTTCTTCTCAGGCCACGCCATAGCTCAAGCGGTTAGTCGCTGGCTTCCCACCACGGCAGCCCAGGTTCAATCCTGGATCTGGTCAAGTGGGATTTGTGGGGACAAAGTGGCACTGGGGCAAGTTTTCTCTTAGTAATTCGGTTTCCCCTGCCAATCTTCATTCCACCAATTGCTCCACAATCACCCTCACCTTTCATCTGGGGCTGGTACAATAGGCCAGAAGTGGCCGCAGTGCAAGGGCCTTAGTCCCACCCCACTAGCAATAAAAAAATGCTGTTCTTCTCCATTCTTCCAAGAGGATTTTTCCTTTCAGGTTTTCTTACCAAAATGTAGTATGTTTTCCTGCTCTCTCCCATATGTCCTACATACGTATATGAAGTGAACATTTTATGAAGGAAATTACTTATGAAAATATGATATGATGTGTGGTCTGCTAATGTCTGAAGCATTATGTATTTATTTTCTTTAACAGATTACTCTAATTATTAAAGAAGAGTTATCATTAAAGTACAGTTGTACAAATAATACGATATTCAATGAATAAATTTTATACATTCTTTCCACAGTTGGTGTCTGCTATTACTTCATATGTGAAAGGGAAATTGGGCCAGGCCTTTGTTGAAAGGCCTCAAATTACATTACAGAAATTGTGAGTTTTTGGTGCTTTAATTAGGGAGAATAGTTTAAGAAAGTGTGTTCAAAAGGAGACAGTCCATTAAAGAACTATTTATGTTTCTTCTGTATCGTTAAATATGGGAATGAAATATAGTCTTCGGCAAAGAATAGTCATTTTGGAAATGTCCAGAACATGATTTGTATATCAGTTATAGCTGGTTCTGAGGACAGTGTTATGCATTTCATATTAGCGGATCTCTGAACTTCATCCAAAATGTGGTATTCCAAACAGAATAGAATATTGTTATACCTATGATCACCCACTGCTATGCAACAGGTTGGTAATCAAATTTCATTAATATCAGCTTGTTCCATGGATTGTGTCTCTTTTTTAATACACTATATTAATGCATTACACATTTTACTTTTGTGAATTAACCATAAAAGTAAGAATTTTTAAATTTCTTCTCCTCTTAAGGAGCATTGTTTTGCATTTTTTATGAAGTAAAAAGGAAAGAATACCTAATCTAAATACACTTTGTGTTTTGCTGAAATTCCATTTCAAAGCCAGCAACAAATAAGTTTAATAAGCTGCAGAGAACTTTATAGGGAATTTTTTGTAATACATTATAAAGTACACAATTTCCAATTTAAATTAATGTATTAATTTCCAGGAAGTACTACCTTATTGAAACTTCACATAGCCTATTACAGGTTTCGTTAAGCTTCAGTAAGTTTTCTTTTCCCCATATGAACATCATTCATTCATCTGTAATCTATTAAGATGACAGGTCCACAGTCTCTTCCAAAACAGTTCCTCCACTTGATGCGATCTAGAGCTTTCTCCTTCAAATGAAAATATCCTCTTCTGTCCCCAAGGTCATCCAGCATCTTCTTATGTCTTCTTCCTCGTCTTCTGGTCACTTCTATCCGCCCCTCTATCTTTCCTTCAATAACTTCTTTTATAAGGTAGTTACCACGTAAGATATGACCAATGCAATTAGCCTTCCGTTTTCTTATTTTGTGTAGGATATTCCTCTGCTCACTTACTCTAAATAACACTTCTTTATTTCTCACATAAT